TGATTTATGTGTATGTCCGTGCAAGCGTCTTAGACTTTGGGTGCTCGTGCGTGGCTGTGTTCACGTACGTGTCAAAATGTGTTAACTCCAACAGTTTGGCGACATGAGCAGGTTTATGTTGGTGGGTGCCTGTCACTGAGCTTGAGGGACTGCTTATTTCATGATGGCATATGCATTTATGCATTTTATATGTGAGTGCAAGTGAGAGATAGACTCAGGGAGTAATAGTGGCGAGTTTGTGCCAAATGTAGGAACTGGGATGCTGAGAGAATTTGAAATAGCGTTAGATCAGGAGTGGGAGAGAATTATTGGAGGTGAGGTGGGTAAAAAAAGATGGAGTAAACGAGAAGGGCGGGGCGGCGAGGCGATGCAAACTTCAAGCTCCTTTACTGGGTCACTGAGAACTCCTAACTGTTCATCCCAAGTCAGCATATCATCAGACCAAGTAGGTTACTCTAAGTAGGAACAAATGAATACAAGAAATAAAAACTAGACTTAATGGATGAAAGGAAAGATTGCATTAAAGTGGCTACAGATTAAAAAAAAAAAACAGCTCAGTCAATGAGATTGAGTCTTATTTTCAATCAACAGTTTTTATTAGAGAGGGAGAAGAGAGAGACACAAAATAATATCCACATCATGGGTACTAATAAATATAAACACGAACAGGAGAAAAGGGGACATGTACTTAAGAGAGGAGCAGAAGAATTGAGTGAAGCATGGGCATCTTCTTTTATTTTCATAGATTAATCATGATGTATGTTATAGGATCATTGCCTCATTGTTGGTAATAAAATAAGAGCCAATCTCAATGAGAATTATTGTACTGTATGTTGCGCTGGTCCCCGGCTGAATTGGAAAAGCCAGAAGTGTTACTAAATGAAGAGCCGTTAGGGAGCAGGAGGAGCCGGCTGTTATTGCTGAGCTGAAATGATCTAGCTCACAAAAAATGGTGAAAAAAGAGTTCCTTAAGATTATGTGTGGCATAAAAATAAACATATAGTCTAAAAAAACAAAATCAAAATGTTGGTCGTTACCAAAAATATATTGAGGTTGTCCTACTGCTGGTGGAGAAAGAGGAGAAGGTTGGAGTATGTTCTTCCAAGTGGGGAGAGGCAGGGAGTTAGAGAGTGAGATAGAGAGCGGTCTGGTTTGGGTGGCAGCCAGAGAGTGAGAGTGGACCGCTGAGATGTGGGTCATCAGGATACCCGTTGGCATCAGGACACATTAATGATCACAGCAGTCACATGGCACTGCAGTCAATATGGGCAAAGTGGCCTCCTTCTACCATCTAACCACTACCACACACACTCTACCACAGAACAGCTATTCCTGTCTGTTGTCCTCAATCAACAAACAAAGGTCATTGTGGTTGTTTGATCTCCGAATTTGGTGTTACCGTTTTGTAAGTTTGAGCTTTCCTTTCTCTTTAATGGAGTGTTTTAATCAGCACCTTGTTCTGTTTTTTCATGTTTTTACCTCTCAGTTTGACTCTCACCCTTTGTTCCTCTTCTGTCGCTCTCCCACTTTCTTTGCCATATGCGTGGCCATAAACGTTAAACCTCTGCGTCTTCTGTGCGCCTCACTGACCTCTGAGAATAAATCGACTCAGCGTTTTCACTAGTGTGACTTCTTCTTTTACTGTAGTGCGCACTTTCTCTCTCTGGACCCAGCTTGTGTGTGGGGGCGGGTGTGAGCACGGTGCCACAGAGGCTGAATCGAACCAGACACACACACACACACGCACACACACACACACACACATCCAAAGTCTAATCAATGCTCTGTTAACAAGGCCAAGACTGCAGTAGAAACAGGTGGGTTGACAGCGCAGTTTTTTTGTGCAATGCACAGTTTCACAACGCTTTGTGAAGGTCAGGCTCTCAACACAGGGTGCCACAGTGATTTTAAAACAGCAAGGACGGGCAGATAACTTTGTGGTAAATAGGACTCATCTGGCCCGTCTTGTCCATCTAATTGGACTGTATGGATAGGCGCTGGCGAAGAGATTAGGACTACTGGATTATAAAATTGAAAAGCAGCTTTTCATTTCAACGAAATCCCTCCAGGATTAAATATGATGAACGTCTGTCAGAGACTCACACTCACCCTTCCGTGCAGTCAAGCTCGCAACATGAAAGCATCCATACATACACCTTCTGTGATGTCATTCACTCGGCATTAGGGTCATAGGGTGACGGCACTGTCAACTAGAAACAACAGAAACACACACTCTCCCTCTCACACACACCCCCCTCCTTCCTTCTCACTGTTACATACGCACACACTGTAATCGACCCGTGACCCCTGTCATGATGATACTAACGCACTGATGTATTTATTAAAAGCCACCTCGAGTTCAGGTCGCACAGCCAACCATATGCTCGGGGTAAGTAGGCGATGGGTTGAGGAGGTGGGGGTAAGCGAGAGGTGAGAAGGACGAGGTAACCAAAGCAGGGATCACCCGACGAGCCAGACTGAAAACTGATCTACTGACCTGGAGACAAAGAAGGAGGAGAGAGGGGACAGGGAGGAGGTGAGATTCAGTGGGCATCAGAGAGGGAACATGAGTCAAAGAGAGAGAGGGAGAGGGGTATAGATGATGAAAGGAGATGAAGGAAGGTTCTAATATTACAGGAAAAAAAACACAGATGTGTGTTTTTATTAGATGTAAGGCTGTGAAGGTGGAGCGCATGCTTGCTCTTTCCTATTGATTTTCCACTCGACTTGAATCATATTGAAACCTTACAAATAATATGCTGTTTTAAAGGTGAAACTACTTCCATTGGTACAAGGTAAAAAGAAAATATATCAAACATTTGGGTTCTGGTACCTCTGTGTTAAATGTAAAGCAAGAGCATGAAATCCCTCTGACTGTTAACTGAACAGTTTTGATGACTAGTCATCTCGCAGCTTTGCGGATCTGTAAAAAACTAAATAATATATATTCTGGAAATTACAATAAACTATTTTGCCACTTTAAGCTTTATTTATCATATTTGGTACAAAAAGCTCTCTTCAAAAGTATTTTTAGAACGATCTTTAATAAAAAAATTGGGGGAAAAAACGATATATCTTTGTTTTTTTTACAAAATAATCTTTGATATATCTATGTAGGGGGGAGAACATTTTATTTGTGCTAGGATCAGAAGACGAACAAGTCTTGTCAATCTGTTTAGTAAATCTTCTTACGGTTATATTACAGTCACATATGCTCAGCGTGAGAATTTGTTAGTCAAAAAAATCGTAACTGAAAGTGAGTTCTCACTTTACTTGGTGATATTTTATTTGAACTGCACCAAATACAGAACATTAGAAATGAGGGTGAGGCTGAGGGTAGAACTGAGGTGCGACAAAAGACTGCAGCTACTGATTCTGTGGTGAGACACACTGTGCGGAAACTATGTGACAATGTACAAGTTCAGAAGTCCTCGGTTGGAGGAAGATGAGACCTCAAAAATGACATTTTTCTCACTTCAAGGTTTTGGGTGATGACAACAGCATGATAAAGGCAAGGTGAGGCATGTAGTCATGAGGGCTAAGGTTAGATTTAGGAATCTGTAAAAATGTCCTCAAAAATGTGTCAAATCAAAGATGTGTGTGGGCGTGTTTCTACGTGTGTGAGCTCATGACAAAGACAGAGAGACAAAGCGAGGAGAGAATCAGACGCAGTGAGATTGTGGTAGGAAGAGGGAGAGAATGTGTCTGTTTCCCAACACATCAAGGTCACCCAAAGCTGGAATGTGATTGGAAGTCCCCTGTCTGTCTTGGCTGTTTACCACACAAGATAATACAGACAGGCTGTTCAGCTGATAATGTTACTGTGTTAACAACTTCTTGCTTCAGCTTTTGTTTCAAGCTCTCTGTGAAATGGCAGGAATGTGCGAATGTCATTCCGACACGCACGCGCGCTCAAACAAGCTGAGGCAAAGGCACACACAGCCGACACTGTCAGACGTGTGATTTTAACACACACAGACGTGCCCAGTGCAACACGCTCTTCTGTGTACATAATAGCACATAATTACACACCCTCCCAGATCCTTATGCATATACACTTTCCACCGCGAGCAGACGAACTCTGATAAGAATATGATGACACACGAGCGGAGAGGAAAGTTTTCCGGTTCTTACATCAGTTTCTTCTTCCATTCCCTCCGGATCGCATCACATGCACAAGCCCAGGCACACTCTGTCTCCTAGAATCACACACATCCGTAGAGGCTTACAAACACACTCTCTTAACTGTCTGACACACACTCCAACACACAAAGACCTACATAGCAAGCCCCTCGCTGAGATGCTTCCTTTTATTTGCTTCTTGAAGACTCTGCTCTGTATTGAACAGTTCTGCATTCAGCTCATCTGCCTT